AGTATTGCAGGTGAGCACATCCCAACATGAAAAACATGTGTGTGCTATTATGTAGGATAATTCACTGTTGTCAACACTGCTTACATTAGCCAAATATGTGCTGTAAATAAACCCATCTATAAAGTAACTAAACATGATATATATTTAATTTGTCCCTTATTACTGTTGATATATTGAGGAACATTTAAGTTGGATTAAAAGTGAGTTAACACATCAACCTCAGCATGTAAATTCAGTGTATAGCTCATAATGTGAATCTTGTCTGTATGTTACAGGGACAGAAGAACACGCGTGTTTATCCGGTGGAGAGAGGTTCATGATGCTGAATGGTGTCATCAATGGCTCTGAGTGAATATACTACAGAAATGGATAACAAAATCTATTGAATGTTAAGTTGTAGGTTATTTGAATGATTGTAATTTCAAACTGAGAAATTACAACACCTTTCTAAGCCTTGATTTCTGCATTTGATGCAGAGCTTTTGTGGTGGAGCAGGACCTGCAATGAAAGATGATGGCAGCATTTGTTGGGGGAAAAAAAGGTTTCATGGATTTTACTCAAACATAAAGTAAGGCTATTTTTAATAGATAAATCAAATGACATTTTGCTGTTAAATGACTGCTTTTGTGTAATGTTTGTGAGCATTTTTGTAGGATCTGAAAAGTCTGCAGACTGGTGTGAGCACTGAGGATGAGTCCCTTATGAGACCCTCTATCGCTCCACCTGCCCTTATTGCCTCAGATTGTGAAGCGCGCAGCGCAGCAACAAGCTCCGGCACGAAGGCACAGTCCCCTCTGGTGAATTCATCAGAATAAAGCCGCAGAATGGGAACCACTGTGTTGAGTCTGCAGTAGGATCAGCGGCTGTAAATACATGCTTGTAGTTTGAATAAAGCTTTGTTTCATGTGTTGTTGACTTCTATATGCATTTGATTATTGTGATGGTTACTTTTATTTGTTCTTTTACTCATTTATTCATGTTTCTTATTGTTGTCAGTATATAAAATTTGATTAATGTTGAGATATTGCGATACCACGTAGCATTTTATGCCATTATAAATATCTCAATATCTCAGGTCTGGAAGGGTCTAGAGCCTCCATTTTTGCACTCAGGTCAAAGTCCCATGGCCCTCTATCAGAATCCAGAGTTTCAAGAAGATTGGAGAAACTTATTTTTTCGCACAAAAAAAAAAAAAAAAAAAAAAAAACCGACCTTTCGGGGTTTTTTTGGGTCGAAAAAATAAGTTTGTCCAATCTTCTTGAAATTCTGGATTCTGATAGAGGGCCATGGGACTTTGACCTGAGTGCAAAAATGGAGGCTCTAGACCCTTCCAGACCTGAGATATTAAGATATTTATAATGGCATAAATGATATGTGGTATCGCAATATCTCAGCTCTTTAAGGGTTTAGAGCCTCCATTTTTGCACTCAGGTCTAAGTCCCATGGCCCTCTATCAGAATCCAGGGTTTCAAGAAGATTGGAGAAACTTATTTTTTCGCACAAAAAAAAAAAACGAAAGGGGTAACACTGTCGTTTTTTTTTGGGGGGGTCGAAAAAATAAGTTTCGCCAATCTTCTTGAAACTCTGGATTCTGATAGAGGATCATGGGACTTTGACCTGAGTGCAAAAATGGAGGCTCTAGACCTTTCCAGACCTGAGATATTGAGATATCTATAATGGCATAAATGCTAAGTGGTATCGCAATATCTCAGCTCTGGAAGGGTTTAGAGCCTCCATTTTTGCACTCAGGTCTAAGTCCCATGGCCCTCTATCAGAATCCATAGTTTCAAGAAGATTGGAGAAACTTATTTTTTCGCACAAAAAAAAAAAAAACGTCAGTGTTACCCCTTCCGTTTTTTTGGGGGTCGAAAAAATAAGTTTCTCCAATCTTCTTGAAACTCTGGATTCTGATAGAGGGCCATGGGAATTAGACCTGAGTGCAAAAATTGAGGCTCTAGACCCTTCCAGAGCTGAGATATAACAGATCCCACATAGAATTTATGCCATTATAAAAATAGTGGATTCGTGGGATCTCAATATCTCAGTTCTGGAAGGGTCTAGAGGCTCCATTTTTTTAACTGTGCTGGCCTGTACATGTGCAGTGTGTTAGAGACCGTTTAAGAACGTATTAGTGAACTTAACTTCAGTTTCTTTGTGTGGCATGTGTAAGGCCCGAAATCTGTCATTGGCAGCGCTTTTAATACAGCACAGGAGATGAATAAACCCTGAACGAACAGAAGGGAAACCCACAGTCTGAGCAGTTGTTAAAAGATGAGCACAGTACAGAACTGAACCATACTTTGCCCCTGTCTCAACATAGCCATCTTACATTTAATAAACACTTCACCCAGGAACATCTCTTAGAATGATAGAAAAAAACGCACAAGTGGGCAATGTCTGAAAAGCTGGTTAATTAACACTTTTAACTGAATCTAACTTTAATAGTTTATGGAAATTAAAAATAAAAAAAACACTCTCCAGGAGTCCAATAAGGTACACGTTTACACAAATAAACAAGAGCAAGGGGGGACAAATCTTCACATATCTTAAACATGGCCCACTTTACAAAATTACAAGATATTTTTAAATAAAACTATTTGATTGTAGTTTGAAAAAAAAAAATCAGATAACAGAAGGAAAAGCTTGTAAAGAACTACACAAATATCTTGGAATGATTTTTGGCACATTGTGTCAACTGAAATATATCGCACTTGGCCTTACAGGAAAAAAATAACAATAATTGACACACATGACAATAAAACACTTTGCAATTATATACAAATAATGTGGACAGTCTATCTCTCAACCCAGAAAAATATAAGAGCTGTCTCACAGTAATGCTGCAGGTGAAATTATTATGTTATTCTGGCCAGTGCACAAAACACATGTACATATTTACACATCTTTGATGACTGTACATTCACTTAACTGGGGAGTGATTTAAAAAAAGAAAAGGGAAAAACAGGCATATTAAAAATTGAAGTCTATAAAGGTTAGGGAAAGGGGTAAATAAATTAATTGCTGGTTAAGTGCAGAATCTGGAGTGTGATATTTCATGACATTGACCTATTTTTGGCCTTTTAATGCTTTTAATGCAGGCACATGTCAAATGTGCACATGTCAAAGCCTTCAAATGTTCTCTTATGTGCATTCAATATTACTTTATTGTTCAAAAATGTTTTTATACAATAATTACAACTACTATTCTCAATAAGGTTTAGAAAATTGCCACTTAAAATGATTAAAAACCAACTGTCAGAAGCTAGACATGATAATGCTTCCTGACTGGTGTCATAGCTAGGTTAAGTTTGGCTAGCCAAAATGTCCATAAAGGTGATGGGAAAATCTTCATGTAGGAAGACGTATTTTCATGATTTTGCTAGTTCTTTTAAACGAACAGTATGCGAAACTATATAACCTTCAATCTGTTCTGAGACGTGCAACCAAATCTCAGACCGATTATTTCCACAGAGAGCTAAAGACAGAAGTGGAGGAAAGAAAATTTGAGACATGTGTTAGATGACTTCAGAGGGTGAACGGCACATTGACACATCAGTAAATGGGGTTGAGAAATGAAGAAGAATTCCTCGCGAATTGTGGTTTCAGTCGGCCTCTTTTAAAAAAAAAGAATAACTTTCAGAAACTCTGGACTGTCTTGCGAGCGCATAAAATATACGTTTTCCGACAGCTGTGGTTGTGCGTTGAAGCCACAGAGCAGCCGTGAGACCTTTGCCTGGCCGGGGGGTTGGGAAGAGAGATGTAGTCTGGTATTTCCAGTACAGACTCTCTATATATCATCACATCAATCTGGGTCATGCTGCAGTTTTAGGATCATGTTTGCAAGCTTTGAGTGGGCACAAATTTATTATAAAGGGATTTACAATTCATAATGCCTGAAACTATTTGCGGAAGTTGGGAAACAGCTAAAACCTTCCATCCCTACAGAATCCTGGCTGACCCTCCTGGTTCTTCTTGGTACCACACATGGACACCAATCCAGTCACCCACTCTGCTTCCTTTTTCACTTTGTATTTTTTATTTGCTGCCAGTTGGCCCCATTTCCTCCCTTAGAAGTTAGAAGGCCATCAAATGCAGCACTGACCTCCGACCTGAAACCAACCCAGGGACCATATATCAAGCCTACTGCTGCAGCTTCTTTAGCCAGCCAATAAAACCGCTTTAGGGACCAGCAGCTTGGATTACAGCAGCCCAGGGCACTAGGGTATTCTGAGAAAGCAAGGGCATGAGATACAGGAGCCAGCGTGTTCGCTCCAGCATGAGACCCTTGAACAGGAAGTAGAGGTGAAGTCTGGGATATACATTTGGAAAGACAAACGTTTGTTTTTACTTTGCAGAATAAAGTAGGGCAAATTTGAGAAGTACAAAGCCAAACCGCCGCCTGAAGTCAAATGAGTTTAATAAAACATATAAACAATAAAAAAAATAAGTTTTGTATGGGCAGCTTACTATAGAAAATGAAATGCGTTTTAAGTTGGTTGGCACTATTATTTAGGGAAATGTGGTGTTAACTTATGCAAGCAATACTTTTTGCTGTTAATCATGTGTAGAGACAACCAAAGCGGAGAACATTATTATACATTAGAAAAAACGTATTTCCAGAAAGATCTAGACTGTTTTCTTACTTTTGTAAGGCTGTTTTAATGATTTAAGTGCAATTACAAATTCATTAGAATGACTTAAATAAAAAAGATAAATTGATAGACAAACAGAAATTTCCACTTTTGTTTCAAAGACTCAATCCAGCCCAAGTCAAAGGGATGAATATTCAGGGCACAGAAGCACAGGAAAACAAAACGAAGCAAAACTGACCGTGATGGTGAGGTGTGGATCTTTTTAAATCTGTAATAACCGAGTGAGACGCCTGAACATCAACCCCCAGACCAACATTACACATACAGCATTAGATTAAAACAAACAGAAAAGTAAAACATCCCATATTCCAGTGACTGATGGATAATTGACCCTTTGTCATCATCGTCGATTCAAGGTATTGGATAAGAGAGATATTAATACACACAGACACTCAAGAGTAGTGTTTGAGGACAAAAGGAATCTGAGCAGGAATAAGAAAATACATGGTTGGTGGCACTGAACTTGAGTTTAAAACCTAATGGAAACAGTACACAACATTTCATCTGCAACAACTCTATTCAATTATATTTCAACAAGTTCTAACCACACGAGGACAACGTGATGTGCATTCCGATGTTTTCGATGGTGAGGCCATTTATCCAGGCATAGGCATTCATAACTGAAGCATTCTGCATCCTCTGTGGTGTCATGCTAGCCACCCTCAAGGCTCAACAAGCTCTATGGCTGAAATAACTTGAAAACACAACCCGTCTAGGGGTTTATTAGACTGACTCGGACCAGCAGAATCCCAAACGCTGGTTTTCTGTGACACAAAGACAGTTCGGATCATAGTCTTTCTGTGCAAATTTAGCGAGTAGAGAAGAGCGTCTGTAATGAGTCAGCTCTGAAAATTCTCTCGAAATGTCCAGAATTTGGGTTAATCCCAGTTAGCTACCCAGATGGACAAGGTCACAATGAGATGACCTCTAGGTGATCGGATTCTTCTCCAGTGGTTTGGAATCCAAAGCCAGAATCCCTTCAGAGCTACTGAGATGGGGAAAGGTCAACATGCAGATGCATTTCCCAGCTTTTCTTAAAAACGTTTAGTCTTGATGGCCCTGTGCATTCGCTATGCTGGTTGTGAGATCATCAAATCCAGTTAAATAGCAGATGAAGGAAAAAGACAAACTAATAACAGAATAAATTGGCATGATCGGATTCAAGGAGCAAATTACAAATGAGATCAAAATAAATTTGGACAACTGGGCATATGTACATCAATGAATAGTGAAGAATGTTGGCCTTAGCATGTACTCCAAGAATGTGGATGACACTACTGGCCCCTAAGACACAAGACAAAAAAATATGTATACACCTATGTGTGTGTTCGCCTGGATAATCAATGCATTTTAGTTGTGTGCAATAATCCCAATGAAAAAAAAAAAAAAAACTTGATAGATAATTGAGAAGCTGTAACTTGCTCCTTGTGAGAATAACACATGGAGTTCAAGACCTGTGGCATCAGAAAGGTCTGTGAGGGGTTCTCAAAATGCATATCAATTACCCAAAGCCCCTTTCACATATTCCCAACATCAAGGCAGTCACATGTCTGCACCTCTCCCTTGTCATGTCTGACGACTTTAATACACTACGAGGAGCAGAAGAGGATTCATCGCTGTAGGACCATGTGACTTCCGTTCCCAAAGCGACAGCTGGAAGATAGTGAATTCATACAGGTTGATGTACGGGTATGATGACAAGGTTCCCAGGGGTCTTTTGGGGTCTACCTGCAACTCTTATCAGCTGATGGGTCTATTAAAGACATGGTGTAACTGAAGAGATGGGATGAGCTTCATTCCTTGCACACAGGGGCTGCTTTGAGATGCAAGAACTGAGGTAATAAAAACACACAAGGACACTTTAGGTCAGGACTCATTATAAATTGAGTAATTACCTTCAAGCTTGCTTTAATTAAGTATAACCCAGAATCCTCTGGTCTTTTGATGAGTTTAACTGAATATGGCTATTAGAAGACACATACCTAGTTGGAAATGTGGGCATTTTGGATCAATTTTCCAGATGTCGGTTTGACCACGACCGGCTCCCATCGGCTGGGCGGTTTCTGCTAGACCAAGCTCCACGACTCCCAGGCCTATCGTACGGGTCCACGTCACCTGTGGGCTGCCTTCGCCATGAGGACGGAACAGGTTCTCCATCATCTGATGACTGGGAAGAGAACAAACATACAACAATGATTTCAATAGACTCAAAACTTCCCGCTTATTTAGTGCTCTTCTATTTATCCACCAAATTCTGTCATGTTCTGAAGCCCTGTTACAATCACATAATTGCCTGCCCATGATTATTTCATCTATTATACACAATATGATTGATTAGTTAATATTGTGGACACAAGATTCCCTTATTTGAACAGAAAAATGTGACGGGAATTTAAAGCAAATGAAATGCACTTTCAACAAAATAAATAAATCACTTGATGGTGCAGTAATGCATTAAGAGCGTGTGAAATATAAAAACGCCATTACAGGTTGAACCTGCTTAAAGACATTAGGGCAGAAAAAAAAATATTTATAATAATAATCATGACTGACAAAAAGATTTTTTGAATAAACAAATACAGTATTTACAATAGAAATGGCCAGGACTTTAATTTTCCAGACATGAGAATCAGTGTTTTAAAAACGTCTTATATTTCCAGGTTTTCAATGTCTGTGGGAAAATGTGTATTTCATGCAAATTTACTAAGTTCCAAAAAAAAATTATTATGGTCCTTTTCGACAAAAGTATAAAAATCGTAATTCTTTTACAGACCACTCTTATAGGACACCTCAGAGGAGAGAAATTGCACAGACCGCAGAACAAGTCCCAATATAGAACGCCTATTGTCTCTTTTCTTTACCATGAAGGTGGAGACTTTACACAGCCAACCAAATGGTTTATGACGTCAGTTATAAAAAGTTCCCAAATGAGGCAGCAGGATATGCCACACACTGCTGTGGAATTTCGTACACTGCAGACAGATGCTAATTGTCCATAATAGGGCTTGAGGCCTGCTGGGATACGAGAGGTGGGTGTACAGGAAACCAGTTACGATGCATCGGCTGCCAAATGGGCAGGCGCAACCTTGCAACTTCCCCTGTCACTCAGGAAGGGGCAACGGGTGGAAACGACCAAAGCACAATCTTAAAGAAAGATGTCATGACGGAATGGGTCATGCAAGTCCATGTTACATAAATTTTAAAAGACATTATGAGAATAGTTCTAATTGTGCTGAAATGGCAAATGTTGTTTTTTTTTTTTAGTGTCTAACACAGGTCAAGCCTTTATGTACTCAGTACCAAGAGAAGAACATGAGGCTTGTTACAAGACATTCTGGAAAGGTTTTAATAAAAGCTAATTCAATAAATTCCACTATTTTATCACCAGTGTTTCATGTGATTCAAGTATGCATTTATGTAAGGCTGTAGTTATGCAAGTTGAGTTTAACTATTGTTTCCTTAACCTTATTTTTTTATTAAAATTATTAGTTAGTAGTTATTTTTTATAAGAAATGTATGTTGAAATTGAAACACTAATTGGTTAAATTAAAAATACAATAAAAAGTACCAAAAAAGGTAATATGGGATTTACAAGATACTTAAAGGGGAACAGCACAGAATCCGCATTGCTCAATGTTACTAATGATATATTATTATCGTTGGACTCAGGATCAAATGTTGTTTCAGTTTTATTAGATCTAAGCGCTGCCTTCAATAAGATTGAACATGAGATTCTTCTCAACCATCTGGAGTGTTGGGTTGGTGTCCAGGGTACAGCCCTTCAGTGGTTTGACTCATTTTTAAAAGACAGAACAGTTTCTGCGAAACAATGGCCCCTATAGTTAATGGTGTTCCTCAGGGGTCGATTTTGGGGCCGTTGCTGTACTCTCTGTATATTCTTCCACAAAGCACAATTTTTCGGAAGTATAGTATTCCATACATTGTTACGTCGACGACCTCCAGTTTTATTTTCCTGTGAGCTTAGATAAAACCGGTTCACTGGACAAGTACAGGAATGTTACAGTGACATGTATTTCTAGTTACGTTCTCTAAATAAATTAGGTTTTGACTGTAGGTTCTCCCATCTCATCTACCTTTCCTGATCATTTAGGTTCCTTGTCCTTAAAGATTGAAGATCATGTAAAGAGTTTAGGGGTAATTCTGGATTCCTCACTAAATTTAAAAAAATGAATAAAACATTTTAATAAAGATTGGTGCTGTTGGTAATGCTTTTTTAAACCTGAGATCAATTGCTAAAGTAAAGTATTTTCTATTCAATAAGGATTTGGAAATTGCGGGTACTCTTATCTCATCAAAGACTGACTATTGTAATTCTTTATATATTGTCTCCCCCAGATTATGCTACTCCGCTTACAGTGAGTGAAAAATTGTAAATGGTAATGGTAAATGGACTACATTTATATAGCGCCCAATGGCCACCAAAGCGCTTTACATATTTGCCTCATATTCCCCCATTCATACACTCATTCATACACGGCAAAAAAAATGCACCAGCAAAGGCTTTTAACAGGGTTAAGAAAAAGAGACCATATTACCCCTGTACAGCAATCCTTACATTGGCTTCCTGTTAATTTCAGGAATGATTTTAAAGTTCTCATTACATCAATGATCTTATTCTCTACTCTCACCACTTTTATAGGTCCCTCATTTAAAATCAAAAAGGAGATTGTGCTTTTTCCTTGGTAGGTCCCAAACCTACCAAAGAAATAGTCACCCATTCCAAATGAGGTCAGCTCCATCAATTGACACTTTTAAGTCATATTTAAAAATGTATTTATTTTATAAGTAATTAAGTAATGTACATTTTTACTGTATGATTTTAATATCATAACATTCACATTATCATTTTCCAATACAATGCGGTACTATAGTATTACCACATTACATTATACTCTTGTACGGTTAATGCACTTTTTGGAACACTGCAAATGAATAAATATTTTTATTGCTAATGCACTATTTTTTCCTTTCCTTAGTTGGAAGTGTATCTCATTAAGAGACATTTAACAAGATAAAAGCACACCCAAAGTGAAAGAACATAAAAGGATCACAAATTCAGCCCTCAAATTTACAATGTGACTTTGTCCAGACAAGCTTTTAAAAGATTTTAAAATCACACAACACAGGTGCCATTAAGCAAAGTGCTATTATACGACAGATAGTCACTTTCAGTACTGTACATTAGTAAGCAGCTAATGGTTGCTTGCATAAGCATTATTTTTCCCATATTAACTTCCAGAAAAAAAGATAAAAATAAAAACAAATACAGAATGAACCTGTGATCAAAATTCCTCCATAAATCACTCCAGATTTGTGTAATTTTCTAAGCACGGATGAAAAGTCATTCCAGCGCTAAACATAACATGACATCTGGCTGAACGGGATTACTTTACTTTATACAACTCTCCTCGCAGCAGGAGTATTAATGACTTCAGCACATATATTTGACTCACATAGGCTTTGTGTAAGAGACATGAAACAGATGACCTTGATCTTCGAGGACAGTCCTGGACATGTGCCGTCATTAATTATGGAGGAGATAAAACCTCTGCCTCTGTCAGCACAACACCACAGCGTCATTGATGGACGGATTGAATCTCCTCAAATCACTGTGGTATTGATCTTGTGTAAGACACAGTCTGGAAATCTGTCTGAAGGTTTAAATAAAGACACCCATTGTCAAGCTATTCCACTGTAGAGAACGCAGAGATAAAATGATGCTATATGATACGGTCCAGAGAAATAAAAGGAATCAACAATTCAGTACAGAATTCACAATTGTGATGGTAATTTTCTTCCGTTCCATTTACTAGTTTTCCAATGTACAACTCGTAATAATCTACAAGTAACTGAAAAGCAAACCAAATACTAAGGTTAAAGGGTTTCTTCATTTAAACATTGATCATGTTGTATGTTGTTTGTGTGTGTCACAATCATTGTGATAACCCTGAGTGAGGTATTTATTGAGAAGATTAGTCTAAATTCAGGGGGGAAAGAAATCACATGAGTTACAGATAAAGCTGAATGCATGCCTGACCATGGTTGATTAGATAAATCCTTCCTAATGGACTCCAGATTGAGGGGGAATGGATGAAGTTTGCTTTCAATCAGTTGTTAAAGCCTGTTAGACTGAGAATATGTGGGTGCTTCTTCAAATAAGGGCATTCATTTATTTTAAGTTTATTTTATGTACTACTGTATAGATTTTATTGTTTTAGCCTTATCTCAAACCCATACTTTCAATATACTAAAACTATGATAATTCATTATAAAAAATATATTATATTTTTAAAACAATAATTACTTAAACAAGTGAAATAAGCATAAATAATTTCAATATTTTTGAATGTAAAAACTGCAACGCTTTACACAAATGACAGCTTAATCATTAAAAAAAAAAAAAAAGTCAAATTATGCAAAAAAGTTTGAAAATATTAATCATTTGTACATTTAGTATACATAAAATTCCACATAATTTTTTTTTTAATTCCAAAATGTAATTTACATCGCTACTATGGTGGTAATAACAGAAATTGAGTCATTCCGAAAAAGGACTGAAATTACATTAAATTATTATTATAATTCTTCTGTAAAGAATGTGTATAGAAAAATAAACTACAGGGAGTGTTTTAAGGCCAAAAAAGGCTCACAGTGGAAGAACCATCCATACATATCTTTACTCTCTGGAAACAACTTTTTCTTTTTTCCTATTTAAATTTCTTGGTAAAAAAGATTTAAAGTTTTATGGTACAAATCACATTCACTTCTACAGATGGACAGATGCTTTAAAGATAAAAAAGATAAAAGATTCATGTTGGAGAATCCCCAACAGAGAAAAATAAGAGTGAATGTGATCACAATAGCAGTATATTAACTTACAGCTGCAATGACAGCATGAAGAACCATCTGTAGTACAAAGAAAACTAACCTTGGTGATAGAGAAGGGAGTAAGACAAATGATCTGACCTCTGCTTATGCAAGTGCTAGAATTCACTAGTGCATAAATCTTTCAGCTTTCTCAGATAAATGATCAGACATTTGCCATCCATCAGAACAACAGACAAAGAAAACAAACACGGCATGAAATAGAATGTGAGAAACCAGAAAGCGAGGGAGAATGAAAAGGGCGGTCTTTGAAGTCGTGTGCCAGGAGGGGGCCATGTTTGAGGGCCATCTCAGTGATTTAATTAGATCATTGAGGGTAAATTTGAAGGCTGGGCTGTTTGAGATGTTTAATGAGAGGATGATGGTAATTGGTGCACTGATAGGGGGCAGCTCTATTCTCTTTCTTGTATTCTCAGTAAGTGAAAAAGAGTGAAAGCTAGTGAAAAGGGTCAGCTTTCCCCGTCTTGTTTTGACTGCTGGGGTGACGCCAGACTCAAATTGGTTTAGCTGTTGAGACAAAAACTGCCAGTTGACCTGACTAACAGCTTTTCTAAAAACAAAAGCATGATCTCTGACCTGTTTGTCATTAGCTGTACTGTATCAATATCTAATACTACACTCAAATGTTACTAGTACAAAACAGCTTTATTTATAAAACTAATAAAAAAACAAGTAGTGTACTATATCATATTCATATCAAGAAAACAGAAGAGGGAGATACCTCAAGGGCCTATTTTTCTCTTTCAGCAGATGAAGAATGATCTAAAAATACTTCATGCTTACAAAATATCTGTCCACCTCTCCTTCCAGATGCAGAGGATTACAAGAAAGACTTCCAAATCAAACAAAACTTTTAGAAAACAAAAGCGTTAAATTCCATGGCTAAGAATTATTAATCAAGATGGTGGCACCAAATATGTGCACAGACTTAAAGGCTCTACTGAGATCATTAACAGGTGGTAGGACAAGTACACAGAACTTAAAGGGCAAAACAAACTACAAATAAAACTAAACACACAAGGACTACAGTGTTGGACACTCCATCAAACACTAGCACTGTTGCTAACTTTGGATCTGAATGAACAGATATTTTGCAAAAGCATATTTTAAGCTCCCGTTTATCCTTATCTAAAGAATTCCCGGTGCTCACAGTGAAAAACAACCATTGGTGGACAGAACAATTCACTTACAGTACGCTTCTGGAATCTACATTATTAGTTATGGCCAAAAGGTAAAAAATCATTACTCACCATGGGTTGTTTACGGCCTCTTGGCTGAAGTTGCTGGGCGCTGACAGGCTCATGCGCTATAGCCCTCTCTGGTGAAGGCGTCTTCTTGTTCCTTCGTCCTTGTTCAGGGATAGACGGTGCTGCATTGTTGATCCTACGCATGTATACCTCGGCTGGGCTTGGTTTACCTCCAAAGTTAGCAACAGTGCTAGTGTTTGATGGAGTGTCCAACACTGTAGTTGCCCTATATGCTCTCCAGGTGGTTGGAGCCTCGCCCTCATCCTCCGAGCCATCTTGCCTTATTGCTCGAGCAGATTCATCCACAGAAGCTGCCCCACGGCTCCTCCAAGTGCTCCTGACGGTGATGTTTCTCATTTCTGGCAAACTGTCATCATATGAGTGGTGGTTTTGACGGTGGCTTCTCCAGCTGGTCACAGTGGTGCTGCTACTGCTGCTCTCAAACCCAGATTCAATGTCATTATTTAAGTCTGAAGCACTTGAAGACTGGAGGCTGAAGCTACTTTGAGACAGGAGGGCTGCCTCCACAGGAGCGGTCTCAAGGTAACCGTGAGGTTCAGAGTGGTCTGCATCAGTCTCACTTTGACACAGAGTGATCTCACTCTTAGGGATGGATATTTCATAAGGTATAGAGATGCTACCCCTATGCTCACTGCTGGGGCTGATGACAATATTACTAGTCGAAGTGTGCCTTTCCTTGGAAGGGGGCTCGCTTGACAAACTACTGCTCCGACTGCTTGTTCGAGAGGAGCTGGGATCATTGGGATAGAAGGTGATACTGCTGGTCATCTTGCTAGTCAATACTGGCTTAGTGGAGATCTTGGGTTTTCCACTGGTAGTCAAAGGCTCTGTGATTCTCCCTGACATCACTTCCTTCCTGTCAATCTCAACAATGGCTTGCTTGATGACAGCTTTTGACTGGAGGGCTTCACGAGGACTGCATACCCTGCGGATCTCAATACCTGAGGTAGTATGCATAGTCTCTTGGGTATCCCCTTCTACTGTAAGAGGCCTGTGTTGCTCCTCACCAAAGGGGCTCTTTGAGGAACCATCAGAGTAAGATTCTTGCAGTCGTGAGTATCTGGTATACTTTGATGATGTTTTTCCACTTGCACTTGATATCAGGGGGTCACTTTGCTCACCTGCCGATCGCCTGGAGCCAGTGGATTCGGTTTCAGAAGCTGAGGAGTGACCATCAGAACCGTGATCACTCAGAACAGATGAGACTTGAGACTTGTAAGCAGTATAGGATCCGTTTGCCTTGGAAAGACTCAACAACGCAGAAGCATCCTGATATAAACTCCCAGGTTCATTTAGTCCTTTCTCAGATGAGTCAATGATAGCAGCCCTGGCTGATTCATTATCACTTCCAGGGTATCTGGACAACTTGTCCACTTGATTCCTCTTGCTATCACTGTCATTTTGCTTGACCGATGGCTTCAAAGGCTTTTGGTAATCAGCAGCTGGAGGATAGCGACTAAGGACCGACATTTTCTTGCTTTCACTTGATGAGCCACTTCCACATTTTTTTTCTTTCTTGCCATCTTTTGTCTCATTGTCAGAAACAGCACTGGGAGCACCAGTCTTCAAACCTTTCCTGACATTATGTGCTGGACTAAGAGTCCTTCGTACAGTCTTTGGGGAGCATTCTGTGGAGTGACAAAGGTCTTTGTTCCTCAGTTTAGTTTCTCGCCTTTGCTGAGGAGATGCCTCTCTGCTTTTGTACTTGGAGATGACTGGTTCAGAAGCAGCAGGACTCCTATTTAGGAATTTAGGTGTCTCCTGTCTGACGCCACCTCGTACATTGATCTCCTCATTTTCCGCCTTGCCATTCTCCAGGGCCTTTGTAATGCTGCTAATTGCAGAGTTTCCATTACTATTGCTGCAACCATTAAGCTGCTGTTTCATCTGCTCAACCTGGTCATGGAGAGCTTGACTACGGTTCCTCTCATGCTGGTACTTTTCTATCAGTTCAGCATTCTTGGATTCCACGTTCTTCAAGTCCTCCTCCACTAACTCCATTTGCTTCAAACGATTTTTCAATCTTTCCACTTCCTGACTGAGGTCTTTTACCTTATTATCTTCCTGTCCCTCTATGCAATTTTTTTCATTCTCTGACTCATTTCTCAAATCAAGGTCATCTGAATGCTTTAAGTATTCAAAACTCTTCTTCCTGGTCAGTTTGCATGTAAGACCTGTTGAGAACTCATCCTCAATTCTAAGATCTCTAGAATCAAATCGGGTGTGGTCTGCTGTGCCCAGTTTGTTTTTATGGCGTTCAAGCTTCTCTGTCAGTTTGAGTATGATTTTCTCATCCTCTCTCTGCCTTTCAAGAAGTCGTTTGCGTTCATTCACAAATGTCTGAGTGAGACTCTTTAGTTTCTCCATCTCTGCTGTAAGGGATTTTTCTGCCCTGTCCAGTCGAGTTTCAGAGGTATCCACTTCCTTTACACGTGCCTTCAAGGCATCAAGCTCTGCAGCAAGCTTTTTGGTCAGGTTTTTCTCCTCATTAAGACTAAGGCACAACTGGGTACAGTCTGACTTGCTTTTACCAAAAGCCTCTTCAAGCTTCTCAAGTTCAGACATTCTGCGCTGAAGACGCTCAATCTCCACTTTAAGATCCTTGGTAAGTTTCTCCTCCTGATCTAGTTTCTCCCTAACATCCCGACAAAGATCCTCTGCTTTTCTGACCTCTTCATCTTTGCCTTCAATTTTGAGCAATCTCTTCCGCATTGCCTCCACATCGGCGAGCAGTGAGGAATTACTCCCTTCAGCCTGAATGATTTTGTCCTGAATGTCAAGAAGTTCATCTTCAGCTTTCTGTAGTTTTCCTCTGGCCTCTTCAAGCTCATCCAGACGTCGCCCTAAGCTCTGCAACTTGTGCCTTAGATGGCGATTTGTTGTGTCTGTCATTTTTTCTTTCTGATACTAATCCAATGTGAGGTCTTTATGATTGATTGATAGAGGGGTACACATTTGTATGGTGGTGATTTCTAAGTGGCTCTAGGACTCTGAAGAAGAAATTGAAGATTCAAAGTTAAGATCCCTTTGTCTTCTTTTACCTTTAGGGGGAAGTTTTGGATATTTTATTATTTTATTTACGCCTTGTCTCCACAATCCCTAGTGATCCACGTGAGTTTTGGTCACCTGCAAGACAAAAAGAAAGAAACAAAAAGTGTGAGTGTCTAATAATTAAAGATAAAAGATAATAAAGATAATCCCCCCAAAAATCAGAAATATATTTAATTCCCCATATTTTGTTTACAGAATTTAAATTAATTGAATGATTGGATTAGATTAGGACACTAAAAAATGAAGACCTCGAAAAGGGGAAAAGGATGGCAAAGGACAAAGGAACACCCACTAGCTTATTTGCCGTCATCACAACCTATGGTAATTTCAGCATCGATTTTTGCTGCACTTTTGCTGACAGCAGCACAACTCACTGTCCATGTGCACGTCTCATTGGCAACATTCATAGAGACAGCGATCCTTAATCACATCCTCAGGATTACATCCTGAACAAGATTTAGAACGTTTTACACGCCAAGACACTTCTGGCCACAGTAACACACACTATGAGCAGTCTACAAGCAGTGCCTCCTCAAATTAAAAATAAAAATGTGACGCTATGAGCCACTGTCTCTCACTAATTTACAGTTTATAATTTTAATCTACCAATCAAAATCTCACAATGACTCAAAATGACTCTTATTAAGATGATGCAGAATGTCTTGATAGCTGTCAGTTGTTTTGGTAAAACCCCAAGCCTTATTAAATATTCCACTAAATACATTGAAAGCACACATAGTAGCAGCAGTTCCAGAGGTACTACAACATTTTAACCAAATCTAAAGTGCATTTCAATATGACCGTTCAACTGGCAAGCCCACCAACATGGAGACGGGCCTAAATGAATGAGCTGCTGTGTGTGGATTGCAGGAATTCTTTTATAATACTTTCATAATCCCATAATTTTAAGGTGTGAGAGGCAGGCAGCGGTACTTCGAGGTTTAGAAAGGAAACGAGTCATCCAGTAAATATATCAGCCAAGCAGGATGGAGATCCAGCACATCTAAGGCAGATTTCCATGACACATGACATTCATAATCATGTGTTCCATGACACATGACATTCGTAAGCAAGATCCCTTAGTGAGGGGGCTTCTAAGGTCAGGTTTAAGTACACAATGATTCACATTTATAATGTCCATCTACCAAGGCTAACGATTCAACGATACATCCAAACAAACTTGCACAGAATGGATCTACAACATAGGTATCATGGTCTGATTTTGTACTGCCCCTCAAGTGTTAAACCCTTTTAGGTTGCAAATCATTTGCACTATTTGCAATTTTCTGCAATAGTATATCATGTATGTCTCTTAAGCAATGTTATACAGAAGGATATTATAAATATTTCTTCTAAATGACCTAAAAACACATTTGTAGATATGTAACTGCAACCTGCGTGTTTGAATCACTCAAATAAGTTTGGTTATGCTTGAAAACTGAACAAAGGAAAGTAAAACTCTTCAAAATTACCTTAAGACAACTATAGGGGTGCACTGCAGAAGTAATGAAACAGGCCCATAAAGAAAGACATAACAGAAACTGACAGCATGGTAAAGTACCTGAAAGCAAAGAAAATACTTTTTCCCCTTGCTTCTTAGCTTCTAGTCTTTCACACACACTCTCTTTCTAAAGGGCACCACACATGCAATCATGCACCATATCATTAGTCCTAGCCACGCTAAGCAATCCTTCAACCTCACGAACATTCTCTTCCCCAGAGGAAAGGGGGAAAAAGACTTTCCCCTGCACTTGACATCAGTTTGGTTGGCCAGCCCGAAGCTCTTTATTCTTTATTAACATCCCTTAATAATCCCTCAACTCCAGAAAATATGCCAATCACAACCACCCGAGAGACTGAGGGAGTTCATGTTTTATAAACATGGCTTCCAGATGAAAAAATATTTGATCACTGCAAGGTGAGGTTTAAAGAAAATAAGAAATAAACAATCATTGTAATATATATATATATATATATATATTATTTTGACAGAGTAAAAAAAAATAATTGTATGTATTTGCAGCAATCTGTTTTTGTGGGTGTGCAGAAACAAAACACATAGTGAAATTATTTACATAGTCACATGAATCTTTCCATTATGCCAAGTATCTAAAAGGAGATGGATCACGTGTGGTCCAATGTCTTCCCTTTGTATGCCCATTGCATGACATCATCACTCATCTACATACCTACAATTAAACTTTTAACACCAGACACCTGAAACGACTAATTCGAAAAATTAATGACTCCCAGTTGCTTTGTTGCTGCACATCAGTGTTATGTGTGAACATTTATTTGTACCTGATCCTGTACTGACTGAATGATTTGTCAATATTTTATGGTTAAAAGTCATGCCAAGAAAGCACACTGAATTAAAAAGTGAGAGAGAGAGCGAGCGAGGGAGAAGAGAGAGATGATGAGAGTGTGTGTTTGGCCTCCTCTGAACTCATGCAGTTCTGGCAAAAACTGACAAGCCACAAAATAGTGGCAAGTGCAACCTGAAGCTTGAAGCAGCAATTTTTTACATTTTTCCATGAAAGCAAAAACCAGCCTATAATGTTCAGTTTGTTGTTTCCTGTGCAGTCATGTCATTTTCTGCTCGCTCTCTTCACCGCGTTTGGAAAAATGGCAAAGTAAGGACAGGAAGTCTGATGTTTTAGTGGGGCTGTACGTCTGAACGGCCGAGCAGACAGCAGTTCTACAAAAAGACTGGTGGGAAAAGAACAGCCAAGTGTTTAAAAAAAAGACGTGCTGAATTCAGATTTGTTTGAACTTTCATAAGAGTTAGAGATTAAAAAAAAGAAAACCAGACTCCGTTAAGAACCAAAAGAAAAACACAAATCAATATAAGCAAACAAACTCTTTAAAAAATACACTTAGTGAATATAAATATACAGTCAGTTCAAAAAGTATTTGGACATTTAAGACACACTTGAAAAATATCTTAATGCCATTGCTTTCGATAAAAACACATTAAAGCTGCAGTACGTCGATTTTTGGGGGTTAAAAATTATCCAAAATAAATATTTGAGAAAATAAACAACCAGCAAGTGTCCAGCAAGTGCTCTGCTTGCCTTAGCTCAACTCAAAGCGGTAAGGCCTTTCGAAATTTTCGAGCATGTCTTTGCGTCACTTCTGTACACATAAAGAAGAGTCTCGGCTAGTAGGCTATATTGTGTGTGAGGATGCTGGAGGTGGAGATTCATAGCCTTTTCTCACAGCACTTGGTATAATTAAACTTATCAATTTGATTGCGGATCCAGAAAGGTTCAAACAACAATCACCAGTGACAACATATTCACCAGCTGTAAAATGCAAAAGACTTTGTTCGGACTTTGGAGTGGCTAACATACAGAAAAAAAGAAACTGCAACCGGCCCATGCGAAAACAAGGATACATATTGGAAGGACATTACATGTAGTCACGCAATGCTGACATTGTCAACATAAACAATTTAAGAACAAAGTATAATTTGCACTGTTTTGACATGATAAGTGATTCAGCGAGATTTACTGCAATGTCAGAACCAGAACAAAATTGGATGTTTCTTATTTGTTCAGATAACATTTTCCGGTGAAAATTATTATGTTGGTCATACTTCCAAAAAGAATAATCTGTGATTCTGAATGACAGTATCCACACCGGTGCGATGGATGACTGACAGCCTCAGTCTTCTCAAACATTGTGTTCATCCGCGCTGTGCCGTGTCGAGGGTGTTGAAGTACAACTGAGGTAAAGTTGATAATTCCACAAGTAACTGCAATTGCAGATTTCAAACAGAGATGGCGACAAAAACGAAAAGCTGCAGACAGACCTTCAAACACAACACATCTTTATTTTCATAAATTCTGCTAATGCAGACTGAAATTTAAAAAGTTCAAATCATAAATAATTTTGTATTATTTATTTTACTATGAGCAACTGAAATGAGGAAATTCAAGTCTAAATGAATCTGCGCTTCAATTCCACTGCAAAACTGCAATGGAAACATTTACAGGTCACCTGTTGTCTTAAAAGTCGATAATTCTTTAAAGATGGAGCGGTATGTTTGGACAGAAGACGAGACCGTTAAAAGACAAAAGAATGATGTGAATACTGGATTCTTAACAACAAAGAAATGCCACAATTTATCAATACCTAGAAGCAGGGAGAAACACACAAAATACTAAAAATAAAATACTAAAAATAAAAGTATAAAAGGGCTTTCCTTGCCATTACTGCTTGGATAACATGCCTAAAACATACATGATTTTTAGAATGATTTTCAGAATGAATTATCATGAAAATTACATTTTAGTCTTATAACATCGGTTAATGGAATTGACTTCCATTTAACTCTTCCCTCAAGATTCCCTGCATCTGCAGGATCTACATCACAGGCACATTGTCCTTCATCTCCTGGACAACAGCGACAAATACGTTAAACAACAAACACTAAAAAAATCGTATTTATTTACTTTGGTATTTAGAGGTTTATAACTCTTGAGGTCTATAACTCATTTACACGTCAATTTTGATTTAGTAAAGAGACAAATCCATCACTCAGGTCACTAACCCCAGCAGACACAAACAAAGCAAGAACAACTCCAGAAATGTTTCCAGTCCAATATAAACGCACTTAAACAGGAAAGAATGGAGAGAGCAAGAGAGAGATCCGCCACACATGTTTGTTATAAACACAGGTACTTGAACAGAATTGATGCTGTTATTTGAGTTTCTGTGGAGATTTCGAGAGAGGTCTAGACTTGCTCGCTCTCTATGTGTATGTTTGCAATTGTTTTTTGATTATGTGTGCATTTCTGAGAATACCAGTTTAGGTCCCTATAAAGCAGGGATACGAAATTTCACTGGGTCTCTGAAGCGCCGCATGCTGTGTCAGTATATTTAAAGATGCGAAGCTAAACTGCAAAGCATTTGTCCTCAGGGTCAGCAGATTGAACACAGCAGACGCATTACTGAAAACTGTGTATAATTGCCATTTACAATCATCCAAAGGGCTACAAAACTCTGTGTGAATCTATAACACGTTTCGGTGCCATATAACAGCTGTAAAAGAAAGTCTGTCTGTTTGAAAA